TTCAGCGTGGTTCTACCACATATAAAGTCGAAGTAGTAATGTTGTAATGTTGAATAGTGATGACAATCCACGCAATTAAAGCCACGGAGCCTATACATAAGCACTTTCTTTTTTACTGATTGCAACCAAGGAAGTTTTGATCACAAAAAGTACCAGTAAAGCGTATACTTTAATGAAGTAAAAATATTAAATAAACTATGGCATGAACTCTATACTACTCTGTACACTGCTGGACAATACAGACTATAATACGCAAAATTAAGTAGAATCAATAGGTAAGGTCGTGACATCGTGAGTTCAATAACGGAGTAACATTATGCAGGCGAAGCGTGAAATAGTACATTGTGTAAGCTTCGTCGTGATTGTAAGAGCATTGTAACGTAGAAAATGTCACGACCTCGTACTTATAACACAACAACCATTCATTTCGGTACATCGGGACATGTCCTGCTTTGAAGCTGGGTGTCCACGAGTCCTGGTCAGTGAGTCAGTAGTCCTGGTAATTCACAAATTGTAGATAATAGTAGTATGGCATTAAAAAGCAGTACGTGGTTAACGCGCTATAGAATTTAAAATATTTTCGTACCGCACTTATTTGTACGCTACATCAATAGATAGGAGCAGACCAATAAATTATGGTGTAGAAATAAGTAGTACCAACTCCCATAGTAGAATAATTGAAAAAGTGGCCATCTGTAAGCAGTAAATAACAGTTCTAAAACTCTCCACAACAGCGCTGGAGTAGCTACTGGGATGAAATGAACTTAGCAGTTGTCGACGGTTTAAGTGTGCTGCTAAACTGCTCAGTAGCTTTAAAATCTAAAATAATTTTATTTAGTAAATATAACCTCGAAAAATTCGTCTATCCCACTAATATTTTTCGGTGCGTTCTTTAAAGTATACCCCGTAGTTATAGTTGCGCCACCCTTATTTAACGGTTTTCTATGGACACTTTTTAATACACAGTCTGTACTCCTTAATTCTACACTCCTTACAATAAATAAAGAACACAGAACCACAGAGTAAGGAGTTCTTTACTCATGTGACGGAACGCTGGCGGGTTTGAATCCCGCACGGAACAAGTATTTGTTTGTACTTGTGCAATTTAAATTTTGTTAACTGCCTTCACGATACAGGAGAAAATACTAGTGTGAGGGTAACGTTTCATAAAAAAAAGAAAAGGAAAAGTGATGTCAACACCATACTCCACTTTTTGACACGCACTCACGCACACACATTTTTTCTTTTTTTCTTTAATAGCCCGTAAACGGTGACTGCTGGACCCACGAAATTATATTAGATACACACTATGTGTACATGAGTGGATGTTCTTACAATAAGTTTAACATGATATTGGCTTGATTTTTGCGTCACTTAAAACGTAGGTATATTTATATTTTATTTGTATGTAGGCAGCTTGTAACTTAAAACGGTAAAAACGGGCAAAGGAAAGTTGTAACGGGAACGACTCGAAATTTAAAAAAAAAGTAAGTTTATTTTCGACAGATAGTGAAGTGCTGATTTAATATCCTGAGGAACCTGTATGTCCTCATGCTCCTGAAGAAATTATATTATACTTCAATAAGAATTTTGTAAAAAGTTTATTTCATAGCTTTCATAATATGTCTTTTAGGTAATATGTATCGCGAATACATAGTGATTATAATATCTTAGAGTAATAACATATCTCACATGCTCCTTATTAGTAAATAATGGATATGTTCCGAAATACAACCCAGTATACCTGTCAATGCAAATGACCTCGTAACTCGACGCCATATTGGTGATTCGTTGTATCGAATATGGTGGATACGACGAATATATACGGCATCAATTAATGACATAATTTGCGTTCGCCAGTATACTGGAAACATTTTGGAACATACCCTGACGTCATTTGCATTCGCCAGTATACTGGCAACATTTTGGAACATACCCTAGAGTTAGTATTATATACTCCTTGATGACAAGAATGACAATATAAAATAAATAGTAAAGAAATTTTACTGTAACATAGTCCTCCAACATATACTGGAGTAGCGTGTTATACTAATTGCTCAACAGACCTCCTCTCCTTTCTGATAGTTATTCTCTGAAATGAGATGCTTATGCCCAGCTATGAGACGAATAGACTTCATATTTACTTTTAATTTTTTATATTTTAACCTATATCAATTCCAACGAATGCCGTCAGTTTTCCAACTTTTATGGCAGCTCTAAACTTCAGCTTAATGAGTAAGTATATTCACTGCAACTGTAATAATCATTACGATTTCGTGTTTACAATGCGTTTTTGAAATCATAATTAAGGTCTCCACTTCGATAAGTCAGCATATACTCAATTTTTTTTTTATTTGAACATAATATCATGTTCATAATATCAAAATCACAGTTTCATGCGTTCGGGAAATTACGACACATCATCTTCTCGTCAGGTATACCTCAATCTCTGAAAACTAAAGTGTACAACCAGTGCGTGTTGCCAGTGATGACTTACGGATTAGAGACGTGGTCCCTCACTGCTGGCCGTATGAGGACGCTCAAGGTCGCTCAGCGAGCTATGGAGAGGGCTATGCTCGGAGTTTCTCTGCGTGATAGACTCAGAAATGAGGATATCCGCAGTAAAACCAAAGTGACCGACATAGCCCAACGGATTAGTAAGCTGAAGTGAAAATCGGCCGGCCATATAGCTCGAAGAACCGAAAACCGATGGGGAAGAAAGGTTCTCGAGTGGCAGCCTCGTACCGGTAGGCGTAGTGTAGGGCGACCCCCCACTAGATGGAGTGACGACTTGGTAAGACATGCAGGAAGTCGATAGATGCAGGTGGCTCAGGACCGTGCTTTGTGGCGTTACTTGGGAGAGGCCTATGTTCAGCAGTGGACTTGTGAAGGGCTGTAATGATGAATGAATGATATAATATCATGATGATCAATATTCAAGAACAATATGTACGTCTACCTATATTACATTAAAAATTAGCTTCGGCTGAGTTTCAAATCCGGGACTACAGATTACCTCCTAAGGTGTGTCCGGGACCTACTATTTTGTTGGGAGTTCTAAACACAAGAACGAATAATGACTACTAATATTGCTAAATAGAACATTTGAATTAACTAATAACAAGCGAATGCGAGCAATAGAGTAACCTTAATATTTGTATCAACTGAACTTGTAAAAGTGATGTGTTTTTTGGATTGTAAGACAAAATGATTCAATCTCCACAGTTTCAGTTACTGGATTTAAGCAAAAGGGTTTATTTGTTTTAATAGCTATCTTTTATAGTGAGGGCAAATGCACAGACCTACCACCATGCAAATGCATAGCTGAACGAAATTATTAATTTAAGCGCGAAATAATAAATAATATAAAAAATTGCAGATAACTTCATTGTTACATCACACAAAGTTCGCTGTTGCCATTATTATCTTGCTGATCTTGCCTATTAGGTTTTTTCATCAAAAAATTTGAAGGTCTGGTGACATAGGCGCCAGTTGCAAGCGAAAAACTTACCTGAGCTACAAGTTATTTTTTTAACTTTAAATGCAAACTTAATGTATAAAACCAACATCTCTATTGTGTTTTATTTAAAGCAAAATATTTTATGGAACATTGTTGACAAAATGTAAAGTTAAAAAAAAGTTACAGCCTATATACGAGCCACTACTGGGCATAGGCCTCCTGTCATTTTTAAAAGGGCTTTAGGACAAGAAAATGTCCGCCGCGATGCCCTAATGCATGCATCGCAGACCCAATATCGTATTTTTTTTTCAATTTCTCAAACCCATATGGTTTTTCTCCTGAAGTTTTCTTTCAACACCGAGCACGTGTTAAATCAGTCGCTGCAGCTATAAGATTGTAGCACGTATGGGTTGGCTCGACCGGGAAAGGATCACGCTCTCACAGAATACCAGCGTAGGTACCAAAAATAGCAGCTTAATGCTGCTGTGTTTCGTATGGTGAGAGTAGAAAACCAGAATTTTTTTTACTGGAAAAGAAGCATTCCATCGTCGGTTGACGACGCATCTGCATTTTGATTCGTAATCGAGGATAGATGTCGATGTCTATGGACTTACCATCATGTGGACTGTGTTCTCGTTTGTCACCCTCATCCAATAAAAATATTTGACGAAGTTGAGAGAAGTTTGAGATTTTAAATATTATTCGGACTTTAATACACTTAGTTTTAGCCAAAAGTAGGTCTAAGTTTAACTAACTGAAAAAAAAGACGTGTGGCACTCGGGGACTGCCGCGGTAAAGCTATTGCATAGCATTTAGTATCAACTTATGCAATTATAATTATTTATTTATTTTATTTATGCAGTATTTCTTTTTCTTTGATATTAATTCAAGTTACTTAGGTTAATCCAATCAAATTCAACCAGATTTAACCGAACCCGCGTTATAACGAACTCACTATTTGTGAAAAATACTGTATCACCGGACCGCGTCGCAAAAAACTCAGGTTCGCGCAGTACATACGTCAGGGCGGCCGTACGGCAATTATATTAACAAGACGCGCAACTACTCAGTTCCACGCTCCACGGCAAGATTTGTCACTTATTATTTATTGTCCAATTAATTGTCTTTAAGTTCAAATGGCACGCTCTATTAACATAAGTCTAAGACAAAACAAGGAGACTTTCAATATATGAACAACTATATTTTTCTATCTGTTGTTTTAAACTGTTATAATATATTATAACAGTTTTAAATATTACATTGTACACGCGGTTAGTTCAGTTCAGTCGTCGGCTGTGTTCGCGTTTTGTTTAACGAAAAATAAACAAAAACAACAATAGCTTTTTCACGTAATATGTCCCCATATTACGTGAAAAAGCTATTGTTGTTTTTTTCGTTACGAAATTTCTGGATTTTCCCGCACTCAAGGCCCGCGATAGAAGCTATGCAATAGCTTAAAAATCATATTCTAGTCCGTCAGTGGTGTATTTTGATGGAAAAATTCTCAGATCATAGAAACAACAGGAGATATACCCGGTAGTTAAAATGTATCGGAACCTGTTGTCGCCAGTTTGTCCCCGCCACTGTTTTCTAACTGCGTTACGTGATCAGCGCTAATGTAGTTTTTTTTTTCATTGAGGCTTTTCAAAATTTCTTTTAAATTTGTGATTTTTTTCTGATACCGGCTGGTTTTCTTTTGAAGCCTTTTAATTTGTAGTTTTTGCTTTTTTATGAAATTCTTTTGTACGGAAATCAATTGGAGTAATTTACGCTTTCGAGGAGTTTCGATGAGATCGTTTTTTCGCGGATTTTCTTGATGCTCCAAAATGCTATTTTGTCGAGCGTTCAAGTTGGTATCGACACCATCTATTATAGACATTGGAACAGTATTTTCCGAATCGTCATTTTGCTCACAAGCGAGGTTTTGTAATTCCCTTCCGATTGGAGATTTTGAAGCAACAGTCTGTAATTAAAAAATAATATTACACGTTTACATAATGTCTCATGGTAGCTACAGTTATAAAAACTTACTTCGTTTTGTATTTATATCAAGAAATAAAACTCACACAAACTTTGGATAAGGAAGGTTCCACATAATTCGTCAACACCATACGCAATTTCAATGTTGGGACCGACCATTCGAAGAGCCGACGAACTTTCTTTAATGGTTGAAAACACTTTGGTTCAAAGTGAGACGAGCATATTGTGTTATTTTTTGTTGGAAACCAGTTTGGACCCCTTCCTGTTGCATTTATCCATTTTTCTTTTATTTTTGGATCCTTCGGATAGCTGAAATTTTATAATAAAAGCAAGATATTAATAATGATGATGATAAATGAATCATGCATGAATACACACGGCTACACATCAATCTATTAAATCCAGTTTACGCTGACCTCTCATTGTACAGAAATCCTATAAAATGCGATATCAGCTTATACTGGAGAGTCAATAAAGTAAAAACCAATACTTTATCTACACTTTTATACATTTATCAGCTAAACGCCCAGTTTCTGAAGTTCCTAGTTACTTATATTCCCATTAGCTATTGATTCAATAAAAGATAACTCGAGTAGATCAAGAAATATCTTTTATTCAGTCAATATTAAGCAATAAAATTTACCTACTTTCTATTTTCAGTACTGCTTGCCATAAGGGTTGTTATTTGTCTCTATGTTAATATTTATTGTTTGTAAATCTTTTATTTTACTAGTAAATGCATATTTTAATAGTAAAGAATATTGATTTTTCTTATCTCCATTTAACGACAACTCTCATTAACGCCATAAAATGCGCAGTTCCTTACACTGTAGTGACAAACTATGTTTTACAATAATTAATTATATCATGAATTCGTACTTAGCAGAATCGTATAAAATATCGACAACCACAAACATCACATCACATCTCTAACTCACAAAAGCCGGCAGCGGCTGCTTCACGAAACTATCGTGTGAGTGAGAGTATCAGTAAAACACTTATCCATTGCGCTATTAGACCAACTGATTCACAGGTCGATTTGTACTAAGCAAGCAATGGTTTTTGTTCCTAATGAAAACATTTGATTTGGTTTTTCATCGTGTTTCTAGTACCACAAAGTAATGTTTTAATAAATTGAATAAGAAAAACCATTAATATTTTAGTACTTACGTGTGAAATGAGATGCCATCTTTCATGTAATTCACAATACAGCTGTTATTTTTGCAAACAATCACTGAACAACGCGGCATTTTGTCAAAAATCACGAGCAGTAAAGACGTCACAAGTTGACATTCGACTAATTACCGAAACTGGCATCAGGCCGCTTTGCGGCCAGATGCGTTCGCAAGTGCCACGCCTCCTTGCCATATCTCCTGTTGTTTATATGATCTGAGGAAAAATTCATTTTTGCGTCATAAACATAAAGCACAGATTAATAAACATTATGTAGGAAGCTATTTTTTGTATCGTAGACAGAAAATTATTATGATCTTATGCGAAAACGAGATGCACAATGGTATCACATCACAGTGTAGCCAACTAATTTTGTTCTCCTTCAATTTTGGGGCTAAAGGGGATTTCGTGGGATTTTTTGGAGTTTTTAGAGTTTTGAATAGATTCGATTATACTCTTAATTATTATAAAAGGGCTACTCATTACTAAATATACTTCATAACATAACAACCGATTTAACGTAAGTTTAATCATCTATTTTAAAATAAAACCTAAACTTAAATATAAAACTGTTAATAAAACAAAAATAAATTAATAACTAATCAAGAGTATGAAATAATCTCGTGATTTCATAAGTAATCATGGGTATGAAATATATTCATGATTACTTCTGCATATATATTTGGTGTATCATCAAAATTTTTGCGTAACTTATTTTTAAAATGATAAACAGATAAATGTAAATTGGCTCCATAAAATAAAAATAAAATCTTTCTACTTTATGGTATGGGGTTAATTTCTTTAATTAAACAAAGACAAGAGATAATCAGTTGCATATTTTAATGTATGCTATTGTATATTATTACAAATTGTAAACAGTTCCAGGCTTCATCAAGGCTTTTTTATTCACATCTAAGGGGAAGTAATTTAAGAGCTGGCAGCACTGTCACCATTATGTTTTTTATTCAGGTCTATACTCTGTGCTCTTAGGGTGCAATAAATTATCTATGATTCCAATTCAGTTCAAAATTGTCATTCGTAGTGAGAGTTTGTGTCGCCGCATTTTGCACTTAATTACAAAATATTTTTTTATAATGTAAGAAAATAAAACTGTTAGACAATTTTCCATTTGCAACATTTATAATAGCTTGGTACAAAATATATGCGTGGTCGATATATTTTTCCTTATCATCGATTAATAACGTCAACTGTGGGGTGTGGTGTTAAAGAAAACTTCTTGTTGATTTTTGTATAGCGACATAATATGATTGTTTTTGTGTTATATTAGTTTAAGGTATTAAACAGTAGTGCAAGTGAAGTGTTTTTCCGTGGTTGCAGAAGTCGTCGTCTACAAAAACGACAACAATGACTACGCCGGCGAAACTTTACGGTCGAGAGTTGTCAGCCTACGATGAAGTGGATGTTGACGAACTGTTGTCTAAGTTGACGCAGGAAGAGCTCACCATGCTCGCCAAGGAAGTAGATCCTGATGTAAGTTTTATTATCACTTAATGTCTTTGTTGAAATATCTTTGTGGATGCTTTTATTTCATGCATTTTTTTATCATTCAGCCCAAATTTCATTAAGTTTCCTTACACTTCATGAAGGCAAATCAGTTCATTATGTATTTCTTAACCTGTGTATAAAAACGAATCAAAATTTCAAAAAATCTTTTGCCATATAGATTATAAACAAATACCCTCAAGTTTGTTTATTAAGGGATGACCCCAACAAAGAATTACAAATAAGTGCATATTGCTAACATTTGTATATGTAACCAATACAATACTCATTTATCAGTAATACCAATATGGATAGAGTTCCAAGGTATCCTCTTAAAGTAATTAAAATAAAATAAAAAAACAATAGAAATGTTTTATCTGTTATTCTTCACAATGACACACCTAGACAAATTCTATTCATGAAAAAATACATAAAAGACAATAAACCCTTTTATTTAAGAGTTAGGTGATCATGATGCTGGTTCTATTATAATTTTTATTATTATATATGTCTAAAAAAACTTCCAGAGAGTTAAAAAAAACACCACACTTGGGCCATAGCCAAGTGGGTGAGGGGAAATTTAAATTGTAAAAGTAGATGATAGAGTAGAAGAAATCAGAAACTTTCAGGTGATACAACAGGTTATAGTTAATAGATTAAAAGTAAAGAATGATAAATATAATAATAAACAAGCAGCAGGCTGACAAAGAATCATCTTGATTCTTTGTCAGCCTGCCGCAATGGAATGTATAATTTGAAAAATTAGCTTTTAGTATAGTGCTTCGCAACAGGTTAATAAAGACTAAACTGATATTTTGCAATAGTAATACAGATCTCCATCACAGTATGTGGAATTTTTGAAAGGATAGCTCCAATATTCAGCTCTAGAACCTTGTTCAATAATTAACACTGCACTAATTGCTGGTGAGGTTAGCTATTGGAGAATAAATTGTTAGTTATATCCTCTTACAGCCTAATGCACACAATAATGATTAATATCATCAATTATATAGTAAGTAGCTAAGTGAATTTGTAATGTGATAATGTCATTTTCAAAGTAATATTTTTTTAATATAATACAAAATTATATTAATTATTTCTTAATTTTTTAACAGTAACGAAAATCAAATCAGTTATTTAAGTTCAAGGGACAAATGTGATTTTGGGCGATTATAATGTGTGCATAATTGTTTGTTTGTAGTTTGTTTTTATCCTTACTTTAAGGTGATACCTCGAAAATTTGGTGGTTTTTCTATTTAACATATTTTTTTAAGTTTTATAGATTACAAACCAAAATTTTGGTATATGATTTTTGACTGTATGACCTTGGATTGCATAAAAGGAAAACACAATATCATGTAATTTTCTTGCTAGAAAAAAATTGCAAAGTAGACTCTTCCATTTTTCAATGACACCATGGAATAATTTTTAAGGCATAATATATAAACATATGTAAGTTCTCATAAATCAGTTTTTTAATCCATAACGACTTTTTGTTAAAATAAAAATGTCATTTGGCGCTTACTTAGTTTATTTCCAAGCGCTTGCTCAATATGGCTATCTCAATTTGCGTACTATGAAGTCATTGCATCACTTTCATTTTTACACTCCCTCAGTCGTCCGTTAGCTTCACCCACAAAGGAATAAGCCACGCCCCCAAAATTTCGATTCATTTTCAAGGTATCCTCTAAACCAAGAATATATCCATTGAAGTAATCTGTCATTCCCCTATAGTACTTTTTATCTTTTCTAGTCAGAATCAATCCATTTTTTCTTCCTTGGAGAAGTTTAGAAGTAACAAAGTAAAAAAACTCCCATCACTTTCATACCAAAATAATCCAGATTTTTTTGTATGAAACATTATTTAAGCTTATTTGCAATGAATTTAATAATACTTTTACTTCTAAAACATTCTCATTGAACAATCACAAGGCATTTAATGAGTGGGCGACAGTAGGAGTCCATAAGAGTAGACAAAGATTATATGAACTTTACAATGAAAGGTCATATAATCCTAGCGTCGAATTTAGGAAATATGTAGAAAAATATTCCAAAATATTTAAAAGAGTGTGCTCCATAGCCAAGTCATTGTATTTGAGCAACAAAATAAAGACGGCTTCTAATAAAATTAAAATGACATGGAGTATAATTATTAGTGAAACTGGTAAGGTTAACTCTTGCAATTACTAGAACTATCAATTAAGTTTTAACAATAAATTAACTAAATCAGATCAGGATGTTGCAATGGTTTTCGAGAAATATTTGACTGATATTCCTATCTTAACCACTAAGTCACTGAATTCTTCTCCTGCCGTCACCGAATCATTACTTAAACAAAATGTAAATGCTTGTACAAAGAATTTAACATTTCATAAAGTGTCATCAAAAGATATTCTAAAATATTTTAAGACTATTGATATTAAGAAAACCACCGATCAGTGGGGGATTTCCGTTAAAGTTATTGCGTCTATAATAGATACAATCACACCTCAACTATCTATTATTTTTAATACTAGTATCAAATCTGGTGTGTTTCCTGATTTAATTAAGCATAGTAAAGTAATACCTTTATTTGAATCTGGCAGTACATTGGACCCCGCTAATTTTAAACCTATTTTTGTACTGCCAACACTTAGTAAAATTTTTGAAAAAATTATTCTTGAACAAATGTTAAATTTTTTAATGTAAATAATTTACTTCATAAAATCAATTCGGTTTCACAAGGGGTCGCTTGACAAATGATGCTGGTGTTGAGCTTATTAAATATATCTTTAATGCATGGGAAAATTCACAGGATGCTTTGGGTATATTCTGTGACCTATCCAAGGCCTTCGATTGTGTTCACCATGAAACATTAATCAGGAAACTTCAACACTACGGTGTAAGAAGTGATGCTCTTAAATTAATTATTTCATATTTAAGTGACAGAACGCAAAAAGTTGTTATTCTGTACAAATGGGTGTGCCTCAGGGCTCAATTCTCGGCCCCTTTCTGTTTCTTGAATATATTAATGACTTACCTTACATAGTAGGGGATAACCATGATATAGTATTATTTGCTGATGATACTTCATTAATTTTCAAATTAAAACGACAGTTATTAAATTACGACGAAGTAAATAATGCTATAGCTAAGTTAGTCAATTGGTTTAATGTTAATAATTTGCATTTAAATGGTACTAAAACTAAATGTATGAAATTCGTAACTCCTAATGTCAAACATGTTAATACGAATGTAATTTTAAATGGGGAAGAACTGAGTCTTGTTGATACCACCATTTTTCTTGGAATTACACTAGACTCAAAGCTTCAATGGCTCCCCCATATATCTAAACTAGCTAGCAGACTTAATTCTGCAGCATATGCTGTAAAAAAGATTAGAACTCTTACCAGTGTTGAAACAGCTAGAATAGTTTACTTTAGTTATTCCCATAGCATTATGTCGTATGGTATTTTGCTATGGGGACATGCAACTGACACTGAAATTATATTTATTTTACAGAAGAGAGCCATTAGAGCAATATATAATTTAAAACCAAAGGAGTCACAGACAAAAATTTAAGGAAATTAATAAATTAACTCTGACCTCTCAATACATTTATGAAAATGTAATGTTCGCACACAAGAATAAACATAGTTTTTCAAAAATAAGTGATATTCATTCTGTAAATACTAGGAACAGACACAAGCTAGTAGTACCAGTTACTCGACTCTTCTTGGGGCAATGTATACGCTTTTACAACAAAATCCCAGAAAATATACAAAATTTGTCGTATGCAAAGTTAAAATTTTTTATTAAACTAAGTTTGTATAAAAATGGTTATTATAATATTAAGGAATTTATGGATGATAAAAACCCCAGGGAAGGGTGATCGCTACCAAGCTATTTCTAATTTGTCTTGTGTTGTTAACTGTAAACGTGATTGTTAGCTATTATTTGAAAAAAAAAATAGTCCCACTGGGTTTCTTGCTGGTTCTTTCCAGGACAGAGGTTTTTTTGCGAACCAGTGGTAAATAAAAAAATTGACTTTCAAAAAGTATTGTTTTATAATCTACATTGAATAAAGTTTCTGTTTCTGTTTCTGTTTGAAATGGAAGTACCTAACTAAAAAAAATGTACCAAAATTAAAAATTTTGATTTTGAAGAAATATTTTATTAATCATACATATTTCATTTTATTTTACTTATTCATTATTTGTTTACTCTATTTGCTAGATCTCATTGTTGCTTACTCCTAAAATGCAATCAACAAGTTAGAATTTTTTCATTTACTTAAGTTTTAAAAGTTTCTAACAACACAATGCTTATATTATCTACAATGTGTTGTCTACAAGTTTTTACTTGACAATGAACATAATTAACAGACACTGAAACACTTAATGCCATGAGAATTTTCCTTTATTATTGTGTGATATGAATAAATTTATCTTTATTTTAGAAAATATATTAAAATCTTTGAATTGCTTCTAAGTAACAAAAATTATGTTCTATTTGAAAGTTTGTGTCTTGCCAAGAGTTCTTTTAGGATAAAATAAAAGAATAGGATAATTATTATTCATTAAAGAGTAGAGATTTTACTTATTGAAAGACATTAATATTTTTAGTGGTAAGAAGCCCTGGGTAGAACCAGCAAGAAACCCAGTGGGGCTTACTCTACTTTACAGTGGCTACCCTATGGTTACTTCTCTGTAAAGAATATCACATCTACGACCTGGAAACTTTTAGTTTTTAAGATACAGATAAAGATACAAATAGAAACATTTTTTAAGTCTATAGATATAACTGCAACCCTTCAAAACTGTAGTACAAAACCAAAAAAATGCAATTCCTTTAATAAAAATTTATTATGAATTAATAAAGTTAAATGGTCACATAAAAAGGCTAATAGTTTACTTATCAGGCAATTTATTTTAGAATGTGAATAAGTTATTTAAAATAAACAAAAAATATTCCATATTACTTGAAATTTACTTCTCATGCAATTTATT